GCACCATCGGCCTCGGCACAACATCGACTGGACGAGATTGCGAATATGCCGTTACCACCCAATCCGATCGTGAAAACCCGCAAGTCGTCAAAATCTCTCAGCAGCGCACTTCCGCCACCGCTACCGAGCCCGACATTGACACGCTCGACGCGAATGCGTGCATCCACCGATGTTGACGCTGCTCTCAAGCCTGGCAGGCAGCAAGCTGCCGCCTCTCCTACTCCAAGTGGCACCGTTCACCCTCTGAGCTCCATCTCTGCTCCAACCCCATCTGTCACTGGGGGCAATAGTTCTCTGCTCGCCTCTCCCTCCCACGGTTCAGGTGTGGCTGGCAATCGGCTCAGCCACTCGAGCGTTGGCAGCAACGACAGCGGCGCGGATGGCAGCTTTGGCCTTGACGACTCGAGCGAGTTCATCTCGCGCTCGCCTCGGGCATCGGTTGTAGTTGCGCCTGGAGATCGTTCCCTTGCGAGCTCGGAAGATGGGTTTGGATCAGTCTCCAACTTGTCCAGCAACAACTCTTTGGGCGGTACGCCCCCAGGCTCGCCTCTACTGGACGACGTGGGTCCTGGCCTGACTCGCGGCAATACACGTCGTAAACTGCCCTTTGCCTCAGAGAGCGCGACCGACATGCGGGCGTCCATGCGCATGCGGCGCGGCTCCCTGTTTAAAAACCGCGACAATTGCTTCTTTGTGGCCCACGTTGGCTTCAAGGTATTCGAGTTTGAAGCTCCAACCGAGTACGACAAGGTCGTCTGGATGAAAGCCATTGGCCACGCTATCGGAGACCAAATCACCTCACTTTACCGCGGTACTCACGAACCAGCCAGCGCCTCCAATGCCAGCTCTCCCGTCGCCTCCGCGACCACCACGCCGCTGCTGACCCCGCAGCATTCTTCGGCTGGGCTGGTGACCGCCGCCAGTATGATCTCCAGCAACGGCTCGTCGCTGCTGCCAAGCCATTCCACCAGCGCGATTTTTGCGACCACTGCCTACGCGTCCGGCTCGCCACATGCCTCGACCCCGTCGCCAGTGTCCGTTGCTGAGTTGCACTCTGCCCCGCGACCCGCGAGCCTGTCTTCACGCAAGGATCTCATCGAGGAAATTTTCATCGAGTCCAATGTGTAGTGACGGGGCTTTTCCCATACTCACATCATTCATAGCTGGTGCTTTTCAAATCGTCGTTGAAGGATTGCTTCAGTTTCTGTATTTTTTTTTTCTCAAACCAACAAAGCAACAAATTAACAACGACAGATTTCAAACCCGGAAAATACAAAGACAAACTTCATCAGACGGTAGTTTGCAATACCAGTTTGTCTGAGTGGGAAAAATTGGGTTGAACATCAACGCATGCACACAAAATAAAAGAATCAGACATAAAAGCACAATCTTGACGGCGAGTGAAAACAAAACACGACGTGCCTGCATCACAGTGTTGAAGTGGATGGCGCGGAGGAACTGCTTGTAGCGGTGCCACTGGACGAGCTGCTAGCAACGTTGCCATTGGAAGAGCTGCTTGGCCTGCTTGGCGCATTGCTAGAGGAGCCGGCGGACGAACTGCTCGAAATGGAGCTGGTGCGATAGATGGACTCTTGCGCATGCTTCGGACACACCCAACGAACGTCACCCGTACTGAGCACAACAGCTCGCTCCAAACCGGCAAAGGACTTGTACTCGTCTTTCTTGGACAGGAACGCAGCCCATTCCCTTGCTGCCTCTTGGGACGAGTGTGTGACTTCTGAGGAAGTAGCAGATGCAGGCGCTGGTTGCTTTCCCTTCGCGCTGGAACCCTTTTTCTGATCGGCGTGGTCGAGCAAGCTTTGCAAGTAGGGCAGAGCCTCGAGCGGGTCTTCCAAAGCAGTAATGGCTGAATCAACCGCATCCGTTACATCTGGTCCACCAGGAGCCAAGTTGGCTGCTTTCAAGAACGGACGCACAAACTCAAGCAGGCTGCGAACACGAGAACCATACTTTTTCAGCCACTTTGAAAACTTGGCAATTTCGTAGCCGGGATGACTGTCAATACGATGCCACTCGGGCTGGTTGTTGGTACCCATGTGAGCGCATAGCAGGTGCGCAGTGTGGCGTGACTTGTAAAGTTCTTTGAGCTTGGAAAACCAGTTCCGGGTCGCAGCCGGAGGCATCACGACAAACAACAACGGGCATGGACTGTCCAGCAAGTCCAGCTGCATTTGGACGTGACTCATGAAAAAACGAGCGATTTCGTTTCTTTGCTTCTTTTGCAAAGATTCTGCAATGTCCAGCCGCGAAATCAAGCTGTCGGCAAGCTCATCAATGCGCTTCAGAACTTTGTCGAACTCGACAGAATTGGTTTTGACCACATTTGGAATTGATCCAATAAGAACATCCAGAGCGTCCTGGAAACTCTTCAAGTTCTTCGCTGCTTCGGTCGCAAAGTTGGTAAAATGTTGCGCATTGGTAGTCGCAAAAGCTTGAAGCTGCGTTTGCAGTTGTGCTGCGACAAGTAATGCAGCTTCCGTCGCTGCTGTTTGGATCTCGCTCGCCGGTGCTTGTTGCTGCTTGAGTTGCCGGAGCGCTTCGACATCCTCCGGCGTAGGTTGCGAAACAGCGTTCAAGCGACGCTGCAAAAGCGAGTGGAGAACTGGAAGCCATTCCTCCTTTGGAAACGTGATGTGCGTGTGCGAACAAGATAAAGGTTGCTCATCGTTGATAACCGCATCCCGAACTTGAGGTCGTAGTGTCCACAGGCATGGTTTGTCATTAGGCTCGTGCATGGGGCAGCGCAGGTAGGTTTTCCACGAGATTCCAGGATACCAATCCGCGCTGAGCTTGTCCAGTATCTCAATCAGAGCTGGAAGCAGCCTCTCTGGATGCTTCCCGCGAGCGGTAAACTCGAGGCGCACATTGGAAGCGTTGCGATGAACACGCAGTAGTGCTCGAGGACCGCCGTAATTGACCAGAACAGCATCTCGCCACGCCGTCAAGTGGAAATTCCGCTCGTGAAAGCGCACAACCAGCCTCGAGAAAAATCCCTCCAGCAAAAACTTGGTCTCCATCACAATAGCAACTTCATGTGGCTCGCCCGCTGCAGGCTTCAGAGACCATCTACTAGGGTCGGATTTGTAGGCTGGCAGGTACGAAGGGATGACATAGCGAGTGCCAGAATCGGGTTCCAGGCTGATCGCCATCGATCTTGTACAAGAGCTCGTATCGCTGAAGGAGCAGCACAAACTGATCGCAGATCGCAGAATCGATGCCCTTCCAAGCGTTTCGAAGCAGATCCTTGCGAGTCACGATACCATCCTTGACCCATCGATCTTTAGGCTTCTGGGTAATAACTCCAGTCAGGACTGTTTTCGTGAACCATTGAGGGCTCAAGATGACAATGTCGTTCATCGAAGCGAGGAGAGTGGCAGGTTGCAGCGCGGGAACATTGGACGTGTCTGGGGTCGCTGAATTGGCGAGACGATGGAAAACGACCCAGCCTTGAAAACGCAAGAGCTCCATGAATGCATCGATTGCCTGCTCGGTAAGATCGTGCGACTGGCCAAGCTCGACAACTTCATGCCATCGACAGAGGGGTGGTTTGTTTTGGGCGACCAACTGATCGGCTCGCTTTCGTAGAGAGTCTCTGAGCTCAAGATATCGGCTATCCAGCGGTTGGTTGTAAAATGGCATCTTTTGTCCGGCTTGAAACAATGCAGTCTTGAGGTCGGGCATGCTCGGGGCCCCCGTAGAGTTCCGCGCGTTGATGTAGACGGTCGAACGCACGTTAAACGAAACACTTGATTCTTTCAGGGTGCTGAGCAGATTGGCAAGATTTTGGCGTTGCGCTTGTTGCCGCTCCGAAGTGTACGACGGATGATCAATGTGGGTTCCAACGAGAATGATATCGGCGTTTGGAACGCAAGCGTGCAAGCTGCGTAGCCAAAAGGCAAGACGCGAATTGAGTGACAAGTCTTCACGCACGTCAAACAGGACCAGGTAGACTGTTCGTTCACGAAGAAAGAACTGGTGCGAAACCAGATAGACTTCTTGACCAGCGAAATCCCAAACGATCAAAATCATGGATTCGTCTTTCTCACGAAGAACGACTGTCGAAATGTCAATGCCATCGGTGGAATTGGCAATACTGAATATATTGGAGAACGCCTGTCGCACGTAACCGTCGGCGATTCCCCTAACAAGCGAGGTCTTGCCGACTGAAGGATCGCCAAGCACGACCACGCGAACTTCCTGGCATCGAACAGAACCAGATCGACGCTGATTCACAATGTATCTGAATTTGGCAGAGGAAAAGTGAGGCTAAAATGGAGTCGTTGACGAACAAACTCGGACGAAGCGGAAAACTTACAATTCCAAGGTTGGATGGATACTGTGGCGCAAGACTGTTTCCTCCACATAACCAATCCGATTTTCCGCCAGACTACCGATTGCCAGTGAGTAATACAGTTTCTGGGCATTCAACATTGAAGCACTTACCTGAGATTTTGCAAGGTCGTATTCTGTTGGAGTGCTTCCGAGATGGAAAGAGCCCCAGCGTCTCCGATCTGATTAAGCCACAGACTAACGATTGCACAGTGAGTTGCGTTGATGGGCATTCAACGTTGAAACGGCTTACTTGAGGTTTTGCAAGGTCGTATTCTTCTGAAGTGCTTCTGAGAGGGAACGAGCGCCAGCGTCACCAACACTGTTCCTGCTCAAACTGTAGAGACATTAAGTGAAAAAAAAAACCAGTCGTTGAATCTGGCTGATCAATCGACTTACACGAGCTGGATGAGCGCCGTGTTCCCCTTGAGTGCGTCAGCAATTGCCTGTGCTCCAGCATCGCCAACTTTGTTCCAGCCCAAACTGTCGAAACATTGAGTGAAAGAACCAGTCGCTG